GAGGAAGCCACTAGAAACTATGTACGTACAGGCCGGCCGGGAAAACCAAGTTCTCCTTTGTGTCCTGGAGGCCCCATTGGTCCCTTAAGAGAAAATTAAAAAGGGTGATTAGCACAGGGCGATACTGTGAACATGCAATGTGCTTCATAAGGCCATAAGAGAAGCTATATTGGATCAAGCCCATGGCCCCTCCAGTCCAACACTCTGTGTTATACAGTGGTCAAAAACCAGGTGCCATCAGGAGGTCCACCAACAAAACTGAGGGGTCACAGCTAGTGTAGAGAACCAAAAATATAGAAGCTGTAATGATGTACAATGCGGGGAAAATATAGAAGCTGTAATGATGTACAAAGCGCTTATAATCTCACAATAATGATACAAAAATAAACAGTCAAACTGAGGAACTTCTTCACGAAACGAATGCCAAAACTCCGGAGAAGTTCGTCCATCTTTCTGATAACTGTTGGGAATTAATATTTTTCAATTTGACTGTTTATTTTTGTATCATTACTGTGAGATTATAAGCATTTTGTACATCATCAGGCGGTCCACCAGCAGGGCCAGAACTTTGGAAGCCTTCCCACTGTGCCCCACCCTCCCAAGCACCAAGAATACAGAGCATCCCTTGCCCCAGCCTGAGAGTTCCTATCTATCCCTTGTGGCTAATAGCCACTGATGGACCTCTGCTCCATATGTTTATCCAATTCCCTCTTGAAGTGGTGTATGCTTTTAGCTGCCACCACTTCCTGTGGCAGTGAATTTCATGCGTTAATCACTCTTTGGGTGAAGAAGGACTTCCTTATATCTGTTCTAAGACTACTGCTCATCAATTTCATCGAGTGCCCACGAGTTCCTGTATTGTGAGAAAGGGAGAAAAGTACTGCGTTCTCTACCTTCTCTACCCACGCATTTTTCCGTAAACCTCATTTGAAAATGAATTTTTTCCCACCGGCTCTCAAGCTGTCTTTGTTGCTAAGTGTCTTCCCACCTTGGTACGCATACGTGAGTGCAGCACACACATTGTCTGAAAACTGACACAATTAACCCTGTAACGCAATGAGACTAAATGAAAGCAACACTTAAGTTTGTTTAGCAGCGAGGTCTTGGATTCTGATTCTTGAGGGACACTTGCATATGGAAAATGTGCTCCAACCCTGAGTAACTAATATTAAGACAGCAACTTTAGCTGGATTACTCTGAGACCATTTCCGCAGGAGTAAAATCCCCTGCATTGACGATTTTGTTATGCATTGACGCATGTTATGTAAAATTTTCCACAGTAGATTTTTCCTCACCAGACACAAATCCAAAGTTTTTTCCCCTTCTTACCGTGTTTCCAGAACTCGCTAAAACTGGGGGTTTCCGAAGAAGTGGGGTGAGAAGGAGAAAACTTCGGGGGTTTGCGCCTGGTGAGGAAAAATCTACTGTGGAAAACTTCACGTAACGCGCAGTTTTGTAAATGTCAACACGGGGAATTTCACCACTGCAGAAATGGTCTGATTCATGGCTTTGATTTTACACTATCCATGGGGGAGTGGCCTGTTGCTGTTAGGTTAATTCATTCATTTCGTTTGGATCTTGCCTTTCTCCCCCAGTAGGGACCCAAAGGAGCTTACAGTCTTGGCCGGGTCCAAGCCAAACCCCTGCAGCAACGGAGCAGAGGCTTGGTTTAGATCTGACCGGCAGCGGTGTGAGTCCAAAAACGGATGCAAGTCTGTGGCTGAGCAACCAAATACCTTGAACCAGCCCTTGGTGTTTAGGACAGAGATGTCAGAGATGGAGGCAGAGAGGGCGGAATGGCAGAGTTGGATATAGTTTTCATTACAGGCCAGTAAGGTTGCTAGCTCTGAGTTGGGAAATACCTGGAGATTGGGGGGGGGGGGTTGGAGCTTGGGGAATCAAGGAGATCTCCTGCCACCAACTGGAGGCTGTATCAATATAAAGACACTCCGTGAATGAATTAAGAACAAAAGCAGAAAGATTATATTGTGCAAAACAATTCAAACAGTTCTAAATCTTTGTTAAAGTTCAACAAACCCTTATATATTCTTAAAGAGCTAGGATCAAAAAGTACTTGATACAAAGGGGAAACTCAAATAAAGTCCACAAATCCTTTGTATAAAGACCAACTTCAGGAGAGCAAAGGTTCTGCGTCTTGTATGAGCAGCAGCTCTCCTGAAGTTTGTCTTTATACAAAGCATTTGTCGCAGGGGTCATTTCCTGCAGGAGCACACAGGAGCGGAGCTCCGGCAGTAAAGAGCCCAGGGGGCGGGCACATGCAACAAGCCCCACCCCCTGCTCCCAGCAGCCCTCAGTCAGAGCAAGAAGCAGCCAGGTAAGTTGCAGAGCCCCCCATGGCCCCCCAGGCCAAAACAGTCCAGTGGCACCTTTAAGACCAAGTTTTATTGAGGCACAAGCTCTCCCTCCTCTGTGAGGGCAGATTTGCACGTTCTGCCCCCCCCCAAATAGCTAGCAATCCAAAACAGTCTAGTGGAGACTGAGCAGTGGGTGTTGCCTTCTGACACACTTCCGGTGATGTCAGGAAGCGTGGCATATGCAAATAAGTTATGCTAATGAGTTATGCTAATGAGCTCCTGCACCTCTTTTTCTACAAAATGACCCCCGGATTTGTGGACTTTATTTGAGTTTTCCCTTTGTATCAAGTACTTTTTGATCCTAGCTCTTTAAGAATATATAAGGGTTTGTTGTACTTTAACAAAGATTTAGAACTGTTTGAATTGTTTTGCACAATACAATCTTTCTGCTTTTGTTCGTAATTCATTCACGGAGTGTCTTTACATTGATACAGCCTCCTCCTGTGAGCTCTCGTTTTGATATACAACCCACCTGGAGGCTGGCAACCCTACAGACCAGGGAGGGGGGGAGCTAAGGCAGACACGTGAGGACACGATTTAATGGAGGTCCAGTTTTAAACTCTGCTTTCTACCCTGATCCTTCCACCCATCGCCTTACGCCGCTCCTAAATTATGATCAGTGCAGCTGTTGAAATATGGTGCTTGTATTTACACAATGTTTTGAGCATGAACACATTAATTAAAAAAAAACCAAACAAACACGCAAAGCTCACCATTGGCCCGGGGGGTCCCCCGTCTCCAGGCTCACCCTGCGAGAAAAGGGTTCCGTTAATGATTCAGGAGAACACGGCACTGCCTACGGGACGGCGCTCGCGAGGGAAGGACAAACAAGCCAAGAACGCTACCTTCTCTCCAGGCCTCCGGATCAGTTCGGTCAGGGAGTCTGTCGAGGCAAAGATGGCTCCCGGTTCGCCCTTCTCTCCCTGCAAAAAGCCACAGAATAATCTGTTGGGTGTCTACATAAAATAAACCTCATGTGCTTATACGTCCCTTGCATGAGCATTCGGAATTTCAAATCCATTCAGGCTGAAAGCAGCAGCAATTATTTTACCTTATGACATCAGAGGAAGAACAAAGGCCTATCGGGTGTCTGGAACTGTCCTCCCTGCATTCGGTCCAGGTATAGCAAGCCAGACGCGACCCTGGGACTCAGCACCTAGAGGTCCCAAGCATTCATTTGTCTAAATAGCAGGTCTTCGGGGCCCCAGTTTAGTTTTTGGGACTGTGGTGTGTGTGTGCGGTGGTGGGAGGGTTGTGTACTTTCCCCTGTGCCATTTGGCCTAAGCTTGGAAGACCCTGACAGAGCTGCTGCCCACCTCATCGGGGTTGTATGTTTGCTTCTGTGAGGCAAACCACAGGGCTGCAGGGCTGTTTCAGGCAAAGAGAATGGCACTGAGGGGAAAGACAAGATTCTCCCTCCGCCCCGCCCCGCAGCCCCAGTTTGAACCAGAGCCCCACACACCTGCTGTCTTCTGGACATGGAACTCCCAACATCAACTCTCCTTTGGCTCTCGCGCTCAAGGGTCAAGCTTGCGGGGAGGAGAGGACCTTTTGTAAATTTGCAGCAGGATCGCAAGCACAGAGGTTCCCTCCTCTCCACCCCTGCCAACAGTACCCACAAGCAATCACTCCAGAGAAGGTTTCCACTTTTAAGTTACCCTTTAGTTTAAAAAAACCCAAAAAAACAACCACCAAGTTTAGGGTTGCCATTTCCCTGACAGGGTTGGGGGTTTACCTGCTTTCGGGGGCCCGATCTGCTGCCACCAAGCCGGCTGGCGGGGTAACCCTGCCCCTAAAGAGCCCCTTCTGCGCTAACATGCCCAGCGCAGTGACGTCACCCGGAGGTGACATCATTGCACAGGGCACGTTGTGGCGGGGGGGGGATTGCTCTACTCAGTGTTTGAGGAAGAAACTCTATAGTTACGATAGAGTTTTCCCTCAAATGCTAGAGTGTCCCCTCCCCCCGTAATGTGCCCTGCGCGATGATGTCACTTCCGGGACAAGGAGAGGGACCCCCCGCCAGCAACAGGGGTAATACCTGGCAACTCTAACCAAGATTACCAATAATTGGGACTTATGTGGCATTAAAACAAAAAAAGGAGGAGGGGCAAGGCTGATGTCGAGACAGCTTTCGATCTGCGGATCTGCCTGTCTTTCATTCCAGTTGCAAAGCTGGTCTTTCCTCCTGTGGTCAGAAGATATGCGGGGTGGTCTCTCCCACGGCTGCTTTTGCTTTCATCAGCAGAGCAAGATAAGATCTCTCATTTGATTCTGCCCCTTCCAGTCCCCATCGTGGAGGCCAAGTGCATTATACTTTGCTGGGTCCATCAACAGCTTACAAAACTCCAGCTTGGAAAACCATCTTAAGACTCAGACAGCCTTGACTGGCGGCGGCAGGACAAGTTCCAGCAAGTTGGGGGCTCCGTAACTTTCCCGAAAGCGTTTCGTTCTCATATGTTGCGGGAAGGAAGGAGCTAAAGTCTGCAAAATGCTTGGCACTTTCAGAATGCCATGGCAATGCGTCCTCTTTCATAAGGCACTTTAACCGGAGGGGGGGGGGGAACACCCTTGTTTGTTCCTTTGCAGAAGAGAAGAGAAGCAAAGAACAGACGTCCTTAGCAGGGTGTTTGGAAGAAGGTCTTAATTCCCATTTCTTTGTCACAACAACGCAGGCTTTTACAAAACCAAAGCTGCCTTCTACTGAATCAGACCATCCGTCCTTCAAGGTCAGTACAGCCCACTCTGGCTGACAGCTGCTCTCCAGGGTTTCAGGCAGAACCAAGGAAGCAGAGGTGATTGATAGCTGATAGAGAGGGTCAGTTGTGGGATGATACTACCTGTCCAGACGTGCAGAGGTCCATGAAGAAGAGATTATGGCTAAAGAGTTTGCTTTCCAGTTTGCATGCTGAAAGGTTACTGGACCCATGCAGGGGGGTAGTAGGTGTGGAGTGGGGTAGTAGATGTGGAGAAATCAGCATTGGTAATGAGACTGGAAACCTACGTCTTGATTCAGTCCAGGTGGATGCATTGTCTTTTGGGGGTATTTTTATGTGCGTGTGTGTGTGCACCTGGAAGTCATGGCGACCTCTGGTGACTGACCCCTACTGGGGGCCTGGAGGATATTCAGAGAGTGGCTGATTAAAGCCTGCCCTTGCCTCCCAGCTCTGGTATTCCTTGGAGGTCTTCCTTCCAAGTACTTGCCAGAGTCAACCCTGCTTAACTTCTGAGATCTAACGAGATCACTTGTTTGTTGCGGCGGCTGTGCTGTTGTGCTCAGTAAACTGGTTCCATTCATGAACTTTCTTAGGTGTGGCATGGCCAACTTTTTGCACAGTTGTGATTTACTCTCATGTGGGAAACACACGGCAACTCCCTCCAGTGTGGTACCACTGTCGCCCTTTAAGCATTATGGGTCCAGTAACCTTTCAGGATGCAAACTGGAAAGCAAACTCTTTAGCTTACCTCCTAAAGTAAGGCACAGCCAAAAGGAAGCATGCAGATTAACTACATTTATGGGAAAGAAGAAGAAGAGATTGGATTTATACCCCGCCCTTCACTTGGAGTCTCAGAGCGGCTTACAAACTGGGCTCTCCCGTATTTTTTAAAAAGTCATTCCCTGTAGCTGATGTGTGCCTGCAAGGAACCTGAGATGGGTCGTAGAGGACCGCTGGTTGGAAGCAGGGACTGTAAGCAGTAGGGTTGCCAACCTGCAGGTGAGGCCTGGGGATCTCCCAGCACAACTGATCTCCAGACTACAGAGATCAGTTCCCCAGGAGGGTGGGCGCTATGGCATTATACCCCACGGAGGTCCCTCCCCTCCTTGAAACCCCACTCCTCCTAGGCTCTATACCCAAACTTCCAGGAATCTCCCAACCTGGAGTTGGCAACCACAGCAGACAGTCCAAGCTAGGACTCTTGTGTAAACAGCGTAGAACACTCCTGAGAAATCAGGAGGCCCAGATAGCCAGTCCCATCTCACCGCCTGCTCTAAGGCTCCCAGATCTTCCACACTCCCCCTGTCTGGGTAGCCCATCACGGAGACCGGCCACCCTTTTCCTGCTGCAAAATGGAGAAAACATTAACCAGCCAGGTCCCAAGAACTGCTTCACATTTCGAAACAGGATTGTTCATGACTTGTTGTCTGCTCTTTCTTCTTACCTGTTTTCCTTTCTCTCCTGGTCGCCCAAGTAGTCCAGTGTCACCTTTTGGTCCCTTCGGGCCCTAGAAGAAGATGAGATGCCTTTTGATAAGCAGGAGGGATATTAGCGGTTTCTGAAGTTGCTAAATTAGACAGGAAAGCAGCAGACCGCTGTAGCTAGAGCTGGGGTGCCGCCAAATCCTTATACAGAGTAAGGAAGGGGTGTGAGGTTGGTGGGACTTGAAACTCAGCAAGGGGAGAGGGGAGTGGGGAGCGGAACCTCTCCCTGCCCATATTTTGTCCCCCAAATTCACTTTTTAATCGCTTTTTCTCCTGGACTGGAGCCAAGACAGGAAGTAACCCTGCAAAGGTTGAAAAAACAACTTTAAAAAGTGATTTGTGGGGGTGAAGAGAGGATTCAGTCCTGTCTTCTTGCGTGTCTACACTGCGCATTAAACCCAACCCCACCCTTATAGGAAAACAGTAGGATCCAGGCTGGGTCTTTGCAGTATCCCACACTGCTCAAGGTCAGAGCTATATTATACTTCTTGGCCAAACGCCTGGGCTTATTTAACATCCTCATTACAACTATTATCAGCACTAAGCAAGAGTGTGCTTCTTCGGCAGCTTCCCTTACACAGAAGCCCCCATAAATCAAGACGTCAAGAACGGTGGTGTTGAGACATCACCGTGAGAGGCAGACCACAGAAATGTACACTCGAGACAGAATAGCCAATCGGAGCAGGGCTCTCCATCAGTCAATAGGGTCAGTAATGGGAACAGTTAGGATCTAGGTTTTTAGTTGGAAGGAATTAAATGTTGAAGGCTGAGAGAAGTTAGGTTTGGGGGGGCTGAGAGAGAAGGGTTAAGTCTGACAGGAGTGGGAACTAAAGATCTGAGAGAGAGATCAGATCTTTGGTTAAGCTTCCCTGTCTGAGGGTACTGGGATGTTACGGGAAGCCAGCAGGGTTTGGCTCGGCCTGCAGTGTCTCTAACAGTGCAATCCTAAACAGAGTTACCCTCTTCTCTGTACACTGCAGTCAATGGGCTGAGAAGGATCTAACTCTGTTTAGGATTGCACTGTTAGCCATAGTAGAGTACTGTGTTGATCTGTTATAAACGTCCTTGAGAGTGTGTTTTCCTGAGGTAAAACCTAACACCCCACAACTCCTGGTTAAGTATTAATAGTTGTGGTTCTTTGTCTGAAACAAACCTGGTTCTCTTTCACCTGAAAAAGCATACCATCTCATCCCTGTCAGTCTTGCCTCAGTTATCAATCCAGGCTTGGTTGGGTTATACTGTGGTTGAGATTCTAACCCCTCGAACCCATTTTTCTCTTTTAATTTCTCTCTGGCAACCTCCAGTGCCGTGGGGTCAGCGGGAAACTGTACTGCGAAAGGAAGGGAAAGTCCTGTATGGGGTGGCAACGCTCCCTCTAAGCTGTGCAGGCCCTGTGAGCAAAAATTCTACTTTGGGAGCTACTGACATTTAAGTTGTGAGAGAGCGATTTGGCTCCTGCATAAATGAGTTTGCTCTGGAGCCAACCTTCCTGAGCAAAGACAAAAATGTGTGAGCCGGAGGCTAAAAAACTGTGAGCTAGCTCACGCTAACGCAGCTTAGAGGGAACACTGGTGGCAACTAGCTCCCAGAAAACCCACTGCAGTCATAAGCGGTGGAAAGGTGTGAAATTAAATCCACAAGGTATGGAAGTATGATAGCAGGGAACTTCAGCACCCCTTGGTGTCCACTTTGAAGACTCCCCAGACACAGTGAATAAAGCCGCTCCCATTTCTCCCCTTTGCTAGCTTTGGTCCAAATTACAGGTAACGGGGAGACAATGTGGACATTCCCACCGGCAGGCCTTCCAAATAATGTGAAGTTGAAAACAGTGCTATACGATGTCACTGCAACAGCACTTCCGTGCTCTCCTTCACTGGCAGCTAGGTTTGTGGGGGTGGGAAGGACGGACGATGATATCATGCTGATTTCGATTAAAGAAGACTGTGTCAGGGGGTAGCCATGGTAATGTGCAGTTGAAGAGCAAGGTTCGAGTCCAATTGCACCGCAGAGACCAACCAGATTAGGGGGTAGGGTAAGAGTTTTCAAGAGTCACAGCTCCCTTCGGCGGTTCAACTAAAGAAACTATTTAGGTTATTTCTGTGCTGCCTCTTTAGAATCCCTACATGAGGCAGCTTACAATTAAAACCATCTAACAATGTGTTTAAAAAAATTCATTAAACAGAGGGGCACAAAACTTTACGGGAGGAACAAAGCAACTTGATGCATTTGCCTAGAAGGGAAGCCGAACATTATTTGTTCCTCAAGTCACAACCCAAGCGATTGCATGAAGTTCTCTCCAGTTCCGTTCTAAGTCTCGTTATGATCTCCTTTGACTTTAAGGCCTTATTTTTATGGTCTCTGGGAATCTTTCAGGCACTAAGCAGCACAGCAAATACGAAGCATTCAGGTACATATGAATGGATTTCAAAAACTTAAAACATAGGGCTTACAGGAAATCCTGGCAGGCCGGGCTTACCGTCTGGGCCCTGTGAAATGTAACAACAGCAAAAAATGTTTACTCAGGGATGCTCGACTATCACTCCATTTGTGTCACCATTCACTGACAAACTGCAGTCAGCCCTCCCCCCCC